CCCCAAAACCCCAAAACCCCAAAACCCCAAAACCCCTAAATTTGACAAATTTATTGAAAATGGGCTGATTCAACTCAAACACTGGCAAGAAAGGGAGGCAACAAGAGAATGAAAATGACCAGTTCACCCCCATAGTAGTGGACTATGGCTCCCTTCCTCAGCCAAGAGAGTTCAGTCCTGAGAAATAAGAAGGAAGCAGATGGTAATTTTGGAAGTTAATGAGTAGAAATTATTGAAAAACTTGTAGATCCAGTCGAATTTGCAGTTAAAAATCTTGACCAAGAGAATCCAACCAGACTTGATGTTACCCGACTTCTTCCGATCGGTAAGGATTTTTTGTAATTTGTGAACAATTCCTTATCACTTTCCTTTAGATTTAGAAGCAGTTTGATATAAATAAGGGGATAGAAGATGGTAAGCTTTACCAAATTCAAGAGCATTACTTTCCAGAACAAACTAAATCATATAGTATCAAAAGATGAATTTATAAACCAGGCTTATAAGTGTATCAATCTGGTTAGGATGGCACCGGTTTTCTTCGCCAATAACATCCTGGAATGAGTCCAGAGCAGATATTGATCAAACAAAGATTACCACACCTTCGATGGACTGAGGTTCATCACAATGGATGGAGTCTCAAAGTGTAATGAAGTCCTTGATGAGCTCGGAAAAATGTCAAAGGTACCTCAGCTGATCTGGTCTGATACTCTCAGTGACGCTGCCTTCATCATGAGTGACGATGTTGGCCTGAATACTTATGAAAAAGAGAAATATCGGCTAAGTTGTTTTGAAGTTTGATTATTTAGACTACCTCAAACTTGAGCTTTACCCTGATGAGAAAGATGACAAAGGGCTCAGGTTAACTGAATTTAAGGAGCATAAGTCAGTAATTGGCTTTGAATGTGTCTGCAATATTCTGATTGATGACGGAGGCATCTTTACCGATGGAGCACTGTAAGTTTTATGTTTGATCATTAGAAAGGCATTGATGGACCCTGATATGGCCTTTGTAGGTATTGGTTACAAAGAAATAAACGATACTCGCTCTAACTATATAGTAATAGCCAATAGACCTCCCCTAGAGGATAAGGAAATTGCCAAATTGACTTACGAAGACCTTGAGCCCGAATTCGATCCTAAAAGTGACCCTCTCTACCCATTCAATTTCTAATTTTCAATTTCTTCCTTCATAAAAGGGGTTTTGGGGTTTTGGGGTTTTGGGG